TCTGTCTGAAGATAAATGGAAAAATATCCTCAGGTGAAGATTTAAAAAATAGTAATAATAATAACCTGGGCTGGATCTCTGGATAAAAGCAAGGCTAATGAAAATGTATGTTATAGATTATTAGATTACCTTTACCTTATCTCTGGCCTTTAAAAGGATAATGAATAGAAAATACAGTAAACAAATGCTGACCATTAACATCTCAACACCAACAAACAAACTGCACAAAAATGAATGCCTCTGCTACAAGTTCTGAAAAACATGGTGCACATTCCTCAACTACTCAAGGTAACAAAAAATCCGTATTAAAATCATATGGTACTGTTCAATTCAAGCTAAGTGACAAAACATATCTACCATGACTGTTTGCTTTCTAGTAAGTAAATAAATGCTCTTTTCTCTCCATTAAACCATAATTTGCAGAACAGGCTTTGAAAGTCCCACCAGGAAAACATCATGGTGATATAACAGCACATCAAGGCCTCAGGCATGTGTGTGCCCAAAGTGTGTGGGCATACACACACACACACACACACACACTACACAAAATACAGTAAGGTTAAACAACCGCAAGTTTGAAAACAACTATATAAAAGATTATCAGTGAAGGCTAAACATTCATAAACCCTTCAAAGAAAAATAAGCTAAAGAAAGATAACTGAAATTTAAACCTTAGCTATTTAATGGCTAAAGTCATTTAGAAGGTAAAATGATATAGTACTAGAATCCATTAAGGTCACACAATTTGATCTGTTACATGGTATGTCATAATAGTAAGTAAATATTATAACAGTACTCTGACCTGGATCACTTCCAGAAAGATTAACAGGTAGAATAAATCCTTTGAAATATTTTAATTCGCATACCTCTGTCAACTACCTACCATAATTTATCTGTTCACAAATTTTTCTCCAATACAGGCCTAAGCTATTAAAGAGTAACTAGCACATTTCCTGGGGCAGAACAAGCCCTCAATAAATGCCTTCTGAAAAAATGAATATTCAACAGTGATGTACCTCTGAGGCAACCTTACAAACCAATTCAAAATCAACACCTTGGGAGCACAGCAGGCTGATATCATGCTACCACATTTAGGAGGCAGTCAAGGTAACTAGAAAATAATTAAGTGAAACTAATATTTGTTGAGGAAAAAAAACCTCAGGTCACATGAGATAAAAATAACTTTAAAAACAATAACTTGAAAATGAAGACATATCTGTGAATTAATTTCTCCCCCTTGATGCCCACAAAAATGAATCTACCTTTAACTTTATTTTATTTTTTTGGTTCAGATACAGTGGGAGGGAGAAAGAATAAGAGAGAGAGAGGGAGAAACATCGACATGAAAGGGACACATCGAGTGGCTGCCACCCGCATGACCCAACCAGGGCCAGGGACAAACTGCAACCAAGGCATGCACCCTTAGCGGGAACTGAACCCGGGTCTCTCTGGACCGCAGGCTGACGCTCTAACCACTGAGCCAAACCGGCTAGGGGTACCTTTAACTTTCTAACACTGAATTACAAGATGTTCCTTACGGAACCTTTCACCATCTATAATTTTATAAATAAATGTGTTATTAACTTAAATGAATAAGTTAGACCAATTAGCAAATGGGATGAAGTTGAAGCCCAGTAATGAGTTTAAACTGTGGAATGAATGCCTTAAGCAACTTTTTTTCTCTTCAAGACTGCAAAAAATACAAAATGACTTCCTTAACTGCTGAGAAGGGCTAAATTCATTTATTTTTCACAGTTATGCAATAAAAAATAATTACTTTCTGCCCTGGCCGGCATAGGTCAGTGGTTAGAGCATTGGCCTGCACATCCAAGGGTCTGTGAGTTTGATTCCCGGTCAATGGCACCTACCTGGGTTGCAGAATCAATCCCCAGCCCCAGTCAGGGCGTGTGCAGGAGGCAACCAATCATGTGTCCCTCTCACATCTCACAGCCCTCCTACCCCCCACCCCCACTCCACTCTCTCCAAAAACTCAATGGCAATCCTCTGGTGAGGATTAACAAACAAACCAAAAAAAGTAATTACCTTCTGCTCCCACCCAACACAAAGCAACACCATCTCTCTTCCCTCTCTCATCACCATCAAAACATGCTCTAGAGCAGTGGTTCTCAACCTTCCTAATGCTGCCGTGACCCTTTAATACAGTTCCTCATGTTGTGGTGACCCCCAACCATAAAATTATTTTCCTTGCTACTTCATAACTGTAATTTTGCTACTGTTATGTCCTAGGCAACCCCTGTGAAAGGGTCCTTTGACCCCCCTAAAGTTGTTGCGACCCACAGGTTGAGAACTGCTGCTCTAGAGCATCTGAGTACTTTAATCTTAGACCATAAGAATCTCAGATTGCAATAAAGGTACAATGCAAGAAAAACCTATTTCTCTAAGTATGTTCTCATCCCCCATGGTGTTCCTATACTAATTTAGCTCCCTATCAAGAAAATCAGAAAATTCTCAGAATTGTTCATGTATTCCAAAATTCAGAGTACACATTATCAGGACAGTGTTTTTCAATGCCCGAATTTAAGTGTAAATTACTACTTAATTATGTGCAATTTTCTCTCTAAATCTATATATACTAATCAGTCTCCAGATGTTTAAAAAAATAAACTGATCATGTTTACTTAAAAAGCTTATTGCCTAATAATCAAGAAGTTTTAATGTATCAAAAAAGTGGTCACTGCCCTGGCCGGTTTGGCTCAGCGGTTAGAGCATCGGCCTGCGGTCTGGAGAGACCCGGGTTCGGTTCCCGCTAAGGGCGCGTACCTCGGTTGCAGTTTGTCTCCGGCCCTGGTCGGTTGTGCGGGTGGCAGCCACTCGATGTGTCCCTTTCACGTCGATGTTTCTCTCTCTCTCTCTCTCTCTTCCTCTCTCTCCCTCCCACTCTACCTGAACAAAAAATGGAAAAATGTCCTCGGGTGAGGATAAAAAAAAAAAAAAGTGGTCACTGTCAGCTCTACCTATGAATGACAGTTTGGCTGACAAGCTGTTCTGAAAGATTAGGAACTACCAGTGACTGCAGGAGGAGGCACATACAGTATCTTTAGATAGTTCAGTAATAAAACTATTTCAACATCAAAAATTCAGAGCCTACAACATGTGAACTGCAAAGCTATATAAATGTATGCATGTCTAAAAGAAAAAAAGCAGCAGGACGAAAACTGTCTATACTCAAATCACCATGAGAAATCACCCTTCATTTGGGCTTTTTAAGAACTGAAAACTTAATAAGGTTCTTTAGGTTAGCAACACATTCAAGTTCCAAAATAGAGCAACTATATTAAAATACAACTGACATGCCCTGGCTGGTTTTGCTCAGCAGTTAGAGCATCAGCCTGCGGACTGAAGGGACTCGGGTTCAATTCCAGTCAAAGGCATGTGCCTGGGTTGCAGGTTCGATCCCCCTGCGCCAGTTGGGATCGTGTGGGAGACAACTAGTTGATGTTCCCCTCTCACATCGATGTTTCTCTATCTCTCCCCATTCCACCCTCTCTAAAAATCAATAGAAAAAGATCCTCAGATGAGAATTAACAACAAAAAATCTAAACTAAAACAACTGACATAAAATTCCAACACTACCACATATTCTATGTTGGAAGACAAAATGACAATAATAGAAAACACTTTAACAGGGTTTACTTGTGATGGGAGCACAGTTCTAGGGACTTCACATTTTAACTCATTTGGTCCTAATAACATCCCTGTAAGACAGGTACTATTATGATGACTTCCATTTTACAGATGAAGAAACTGAGGCACAGATTAACACACCCAATGTCATACAGCTAGTAAGAAGCAGAGCATGGATTTTAGCCCTATCAGTCAGACTCCAAAGTTCATGTTAACCAATACACTACGTTTCACAGTAAGGGTCATGCAACGGTCCGCTTTTTTTCTTTCTTTTCTTTTTAACCCAAAAACCTTTTTGGATCTTAAACACTAGGATAGCTTTGTGCAATAAGAAAAATACTACAGGCTCTGGATTCAAACAGACTCAAACAAACCCCTGAATAAAGTCTGAACCTCACCTTCCCCGTATGTAAAGTTAGGATATTTAAGTTATTGTGAAGGTCAAAGAATATAATCAAAGTACCAAGTACAGTATACAAAATAGTTCATAGATACCTAGAGGGTCTATGGTTGGACTTCAGAGTCCATGAGTCCCATAAATTGTACGACAAACATTGTATGTGTACCTATTATACAAGAATCGTCCCTGGCTTTCCATAAACTTTCAAGGAGTATGTGATCTCCAAAAGGTTAAGAACCACTGAAGTACATAGTAGGCACTCAAAAAATGAGTTATCTTTCCCTTCTTGTTCTCTAAAACTCTCCCTTTTCCACTAAGGATTACACACCAAGGCTTCACAATAAATGTTCCCTATTTCCCACCATTTTCCTGACTTGATAACTAGTAACACATACAAGATCATACCCCGATTTCCTAGAGATATTCTAAAGAAGTCCCTCAAACGCTGCTTCTTCATCCCTCTCTCCACAGAGAGGAATGCACGGTATTTACTTGGGAAGAATCTTGACAATCGTCCACCCTGCTGCACAAAGCATCACGCCGGCGGGGAGAAACATTTGGCAACCAGAGCCTGAGTTGCACGATAGAGACCTGTGTTTCCCAAAACTACTGGACAACCCAGAATCCCCCCCACGACACACACACCCTGTCCTCCCTCTCTCTGGAACTCTGGTGCAGGAAGGTCCTCTGGGCTCTGCCCCGTGCGGGAGTAGTGGAGGAGAGAGACGTTACCAGAGCTGGAGGGTGCAGCGCGACGACGTCCCAGCTCTGCTGCCCTGACAGGCGGCAGCAACTCCCGGCAGAGGACCGGCCCTCGATCCTCCCCACAAGAGATCCAAGTACAGATCTTCGCCGAGGCTGGGAACCGGCTTCGGGCTTTTCCGTTTTCCAAAGCGGCTTCCGCTTCCGGGCTATCCGTTGCCGGAAGCAGTATATGGCTGACGTAAAAGTGTCGCGCCAGTGGTGATTCCGAAAGAAACTTGAGTGCGGCGTGGACATGGTGAGAGAGGAGGGTTGAGAAGGGACACTGTCAGACCACCTTTGAGCGAAGATTCAGAGTCAGACCCTGGCCAAACTTCCTCCACATTCCCCTTGCTTATTTTCATTCTAATCTTAGCTCTTATACCGCTCCGAGCGGTGCCTGTTATGCTCTAGCGAGTAGGGAGAGGGCCGGGTTGGGGCAGAGAGGATCGGAGGAGTTGGGTTTTGAGGGAAGAAGGGAAGAGAATCAACAATAAAAAAGAAGGAACTCAAGAACATGCCATGTATTTCCGACTCTTTTAACTGTAAAATTTCTATTTCAAGGGGAAACAAAAGAAAACAAGGAAGTATGCGACCATGAAGCGAATGCTTAGTCTCAGAGATCAGAGGCTGTGAGTGTCTGGAGTCAACTGGGTTCATAGATATAGGAGTCACAAGGGATAAGTAGCTAAAACTTTTGTTGTTATTTTTGTGTTCACTTTTAACATTGTGTCTAGAATTTATAAAGCATAAATTGTACGACAAACATTGTATGTGTACCTATTACACTAGTTAGTAGTCAAGTGTGTAACAGCCACATAGCTGCTGAACGTGTACACTGGTGAATGGGATGGGAATTAACCGTCTAAGTGTTCTGCTTTGTTCCACCATTTTTATATACTTTAGCTGCCATATCACATTTAAGCCTCCTAACAGTTCTGTGAAGTGTGTAGGATTATCTTTATATTCTTGTCATTAGACTACTACATTGCACAGGGAAAATATAATTGTTGAAGGAAGGTGAGGTCAGAGATCATGTCTGTCTTGTGTCTTCCAGCACCTGGCACTCAAATTTTTTTTTTAATCCTCACCTGAGGACATTTTTTTCATTTATTTTCAGATAGAGCGGGAGGGAGAGAGGGAGGAACAGAGAGAGAAACATCAACGTGAGAGAGACACATCCAGTGGTTGCCACCCACACGGCCCCAATCAGGGCCAGGGACAAACTGCAACTGAGGTACGTGCTCTTAGTGGGAACCGAACCCGGGACTCTCTGGTCTACAGGCCCGCACTCTAATCGTTGAGCCAAACTGGCCATGGCAACACTCAAATATTTTTGAAAGAATGGGAAACACCTAGATGGCTCCATTTTATAAATCTCATAAGAATTCAGATGACTGTGGAAGAAGCGAGTGGAATGACATTATTCCCTATTATAAAGAGAACGTAAAGCCCTGGCCGGTTTGGCTCAGCAGTTAGAGCATCGGCCTGCGGTCCAGAGAGACCCGGGTTCCGTTACCGCTAAGGGAACATACCTTGGTTGCAGTTTGTCCCTGGCCCTGGTCGGTCATGCGGGTGGCAGCCACTCGATGTGTTCCTTTCACATCGATGTTTCTCTCTCTCTCTCTCTCCTTCCCACTCTACCTGAACAAAAAATGGAAAAAATGTCCTCGGGTGAGGATAAAAAAAGAGAGAGAGAACGTAAAAAGCTTTGCTGCTTCAGTGAAGAATGGACACAATTATTAAATAAAGGCTGGTCTCCATTGTGTTTAAGAGCCTTAATACAAAGGAATAGTTGTTAGAGCCTTCACAGTTTTTAAATAGTATTTCCAGCCTTTAGTATGTATTTATTATGTAATTTTTAGAAAATCTGCTCAGTAATGATATTTCATTTCTAGTTAAAGGTAACATTTTATATATGTATTGTTACATTTTAGCCCTTTATGAAAGGTATATGGGGGTTCCTCCTCTCTCCCTGCTTCTGAAGCATCTGAGTCCTCACAAGATAAAGGACAGCCTTTTTACTCACTGCTTGGATGTGGATTATGATCCTTGATAAAAGCTTCTAAGAAAGAAATGGTAGTATAATCAACATGTATTTATCCGTTAACAATTTTTATGAGTTATTGGCTAGGGATTTTAAAATTATATTAATTTTGGGCTACTTCCCACACAGTTGTTTGTGCTAAAAATATGTATATATTAATGTAAAAAAATGTATGTTTATATTAGTGTAAAGAAGTCACAAAGTATGATTTTCTCTGAAGACAAAGAGAAACTTTAGATTTTGAATGAGATTATGACTGCTATTGTTTTTTCTTCTCTTCTGCATTTAATTTTTTCTCCTAGTAAAGAAAAGGATAGACTAAAACCTAAAAAGAAAGAAAAGAAAGATCCCAGTGCACTCAAAGAAAGAGAAGTGTGAGTAATCAACATTTTCAAGTTTTCCTTTAAAACATCCCAAAACAATAGACCCCTTAGAAATCCAAGCTTTCCTGAACTGATTTGCTCAGTCATTTCAAATTCCAGCGCAACTATGCAAATGAAAGTGATACTGATGAGCATATACCAGCTCCAGTGGTTCTAAGGTTTTTGGATTTTATGTTGCAGTAAAATTTTTCCTAAAACTCTGAGGATTAAATCTAGTATCATTAATTGTTTTCTTTGACAAGAATATGTCAAAAGTAATAATTGCTGCCCAGCAGTGTGGCTCAGTGGTTGTGCATTAACCCATGCACCAAGAGGTCGCCAGTTCGATTCCTGGTCAAGGCACATACCCAGGTTGTGGGCCAAGCCCCAGTGGGGGGCATGCAGGAGACAGCCAGTCGATATTCTCTCTCATCAATGTTTCTATCTCTCTCTCCCTCTCCCTTCCTCTCTCTCTAAAATCAATAAAGAAAAATAAATAATTGCTGTTGTTTAACACACCGGCATTTCATAAAAGAGAGGGTGTATCATCAAAAAAATAGTAAGGCCATATTTTCAGAATAAAGGTTATTCCTTTTAAGTAAATATATTTTTTTTCTTTATTGATTTTTTTTTTTTTTTTCCCTCGCCCGAGGACATTTTTCCATTTTTTGTTCAGATAGAGCAGGAGGGAGAGAGAGGAAGAGAGAGAGAGAGAGAAACATTGATGTGAAGGGACACATCGAGTGGCTGCCACCCGCACGACCAACCAGGGCCGGGGACAAACTGCAACCGAAGTACGTGCCCTTAGTGGGAACCGAACCCGGGTCTCTCTGTACCGCAGGCCGACGCTCCAACCGCTGAGCCAAACCGGCCAGGGCTTCTTTATTGATTTTTGAGAGACAGAGGAAGGGAGAGGGAGAGAGATAGAAACATCAATGAGAGAGAACATCGATTGGCTGCCTCCTACATCCCTCTCCTACTGGGGATTTGCCCCACAACCTGGGCATGTGCACTGACCGGAAATCAAACCAGCAACCTCTTGGTGCATGGGTCGATGCTCAACCACTGAGCCACATCAGCTGGGCAAATACATTTAACTTTATGAAACTGGATCACATTGCTTATTTTTCTCATTTGCCTTAGAGTGGTAATGGGTGAATCATTACAGGATTTATTTCCAAGAAAAAGGAAAAAGGAGCTTAATATATAACAAACTATTCCAAGTAGACACTTGTTTTTGTTGACACCAAAATATCAATGTATGTATTACTTTGTGTTTTGTTTTTTTTTCTTTCAGCCCCCAACACCCCTCCTGCTTATTCTTCCAATATAACACACAGCTGGGCCCACCTTACCACATCCTGGTTGATACCAACTTTATCAACTTTTCCATTAAGGCCAAACTGGACTTAGTGCAGTCAATGATGGACTGTCTCTATGCCAAGTGTGAGTATCATACTTTTACATTTCTGTGACATTTATACAGAATAATCATATCCAAGTACGTGAAAAGAGGGGAATAGAGTTCTAGGTAACTTAATTGCTGGGCATTTATACCATAACAGTGATCATTTTCAATGAATTGAAATATAATGACTGGAAATAATTAAACTCTCACAACTCAGAAAACAGTGTGCTCGGATCATTATAGACAATAATTTTGAACGTTGGAGGGAAATATTCTGTTCCTAAGTCTGAATTTTACAATTCTGAATAAATGAGCCCTGGCCAGTGTGGCTCAGTTGGTTAGAGCTTTGTCCTGTACACCAAAAGTGGTGGGTTGATTTCTCAGTCAGGGCACATATCCAGTTTGTGGGTTTGATCCCCAGTCGGCACATATGGGAGCAGCCAATCGCTGTTTCTGTCTCACATCAATATTTCTCTCTCTTTCTCTTCCTTCCTCTCTCTAAAATTAATAATAAAAAAATAAATAAATAAAATTCTGGATAAGTGAAAATGTATTCTATTTCTCAGTATATATTCTTTTACATTGAGGAGGATATCTCATTGTACTTCAATCTACTCCACTGTAGAACAGCTAAATAAGACATATTGTCATTTACAATCACAGAACCAGAAGTGATGATGGTCACCAATTCCTAGTATATTCAGTTTGGTATTTATTTGTACCACAAAGGATCTGGGGTAGTTTATTTACTTATATCTAGCTATGCAGTTTACCATTGATAGATTTCCCTTGTGTTTTTAGATGTCCCCGCCTTCAGATGATCTTCCCTCACTATCATGAATAGGAAAAAGATAATTTAGGCCATTTACAAGAGAATAACTTTCTAATAGTGAGATCTGTTTCATTTTGTAGTGAATTTACATTCATAATATTTTCCAGTCATCTAGTTAAATGTATAAGTGAAGTGCGGCCGGTGCGGCTCAGTGGTTGAGTGTCAACCATGCCCCAAGAAGTTGCTGATTGGATTCCCAGTTAGGACACATGCTCAGGTTGTGGGCCCAATCCCCAGAGTGGGGCATGCAGAGGCAGCAATCGATGTTTTCTCTCATTGACGTTTCTCTCTCTCTCTCCCCCTCTCCCTTTCTCTCTTTAAAAAACTAATAAAGAAAAAAAAAATTAAATGTACAAGTGAAAATTATACTTTTTCATAAAGAATAAATTATTTGCTCAGCCGGTATGGCTCAGTGGTTGAGCATCGACCCGCTCACCAAGAGGTCACCGGTTCAATTCTCAGTCAGGGCACATGCCCATGTTGTCAGCCTGATCCCCAGTGGGGGCATGTAGGAGGCAGCCAATCAAAGATCTCTCTCATCGATGTTTCTATCTCTCCCTCTCCCTTCCTCTCTCTATAAAATCAATAAAGAAAAAATAAATTTAATAAAAGAATAAATCATTGGAATCAAAGGAAAACATTTGCACCTCCTTCTATAATATTTAAAAGATACAGCCCTGGCCGGTTTTGCTCAGTGGTTAGAGCGTCAGCCTGCGGTCCACAGAGATCCGGGTTTGGTTCCCGCTAGAGGCATGTGCCTCAATTGTGGTTTGTCCCCGGCCCTGGTTGGGTCGTGCAGGTTGCAACCACTCAATGTGTCCCTTTCACGTCGATGTTTCTCTCTCTTTCTCTCTCTCTTCCTCTCTCTCCCTCCCACTCTATCTGAACAAAAAATGAAAAAATGTCTTCGGGTGAGGATAAAAAAAAATAAAGAAATAAATAAAATAAAATAAAAGACTGTAAGGAACAACATTATAGAGTGATAGTAATATAAATGTTGTCTATTGATGTATTAAAGCTAGCAAGATGGTGTAAGAGTGTGATAGATAAGAGAGCTAAATTCATTAAATGCCTAAGATTAATAAATATAAAAAGTGACTGCATAAGTTTATTATATTAACATATGAAGGTAACCACCAAATGAGAAAAACAGCTAATGGAGTAAAATAGTTATCTCTTAAGGCTCAGAATTGATGGGATGGAAAAGTTTTAGGAAACCATTATTTGTTTATATAGGACTTTCTGTATTCTTATTAAAGCTATGTACATGGAACTACTTTACTTTTTAAAAAATTTCTTAGAAATAATAAAGATTAGTTTGAAATTGGGGCACTACCATACCTGTAAGAGTGGACTGGGCAGGCCCTGTATGAGAGAAGACACTGAACTTGGTAGAATTCTTGTATTCCCATGGTGTTTCTTATATTTGTCTTAGCTGCTTCTCCAGCTTTTCAGGAATGCTGTGACCTATTTATAAATGATATGGATTAAGGGTACAAGCATGGCCCCTTGGAGGTGAATTGTGTGCTAACACTATAACTCTACCATTATTTAGATGATGATCATTTAGGATAGCTTTAGCCCTGTAGTTAGGCTTTCTCTATATATGGATACCTTAGTACAGCTATAATGAACGCCTTTTCTAAAAACAAGCTTATTAAGGAAAATACCACTTTGTGTAACATTATACCTCAAACTAAAGGCTGAAGAAACATTTAAGAATGAACTCAGTTACCTAGGAGATTAATTTAACTGTTTCAAACTCTGCTTACTTAATTTTCTTCATTTGCCTTTATACTTAAAGGAAGGTCTTTGTCTTCTTGCCTTGAAGATGCCCCTTTGAGCTCCTAGAATATTCCATTTCCATCTGAAATTCCAAGAAGGAAGAATAGTTAGCTTCCCATCAGCTTTCTTTTCTGCCTGTGAGTCCTCTTCCCTATTACTTTCCATTTCTTTATAGTGATCTTCCTGAGCCTACTTCCCTGCTTCAGATGCAAGCCCTTTACTTGTTTCACTTGGCTCTGAAATTGATCCTCCTAAGGTAAATATTGCCCTCTGATTCCATGATGATCTGATCTTACTGACTTCATACCTCTATATTACAACTGCTTTTTCTTCTGGGCATTACATTTTAGTTTAAAATTTATTAACTTTGTCTGCTTTCAAAAGTATTAATGTACTTGAAAAAATATATAGAATTAAAAAAAAGAAAGTTTCCTGTAACGCCTTACCTCAGAGAGGGGCAGTTTTAAAAATTCATGTATAATCTCTGTAGGGTAGAGGTTAGTTTTCTTTCTTCTATTAATAAAAATGGATCATATATTATTTACTATATATGTTTGTGCTTTTTTTTTTTAACTTTTGAGCTATAATTCACATACCATACAATAAAGCCACTTAAAGTATACAATTCAATGGCTTTAAGTGTACTCAGTCCATTTTAAAACATCTTCATGTCCGGCCAGTGTATCTCAGTGGTTGAGTGTCGACCCATGCACCAAGAGGTCGCCGGTTCGATTCCTAGTCAGGACACATGCCCAAGTTGTGGGCCTGATTCCCGGTGAGGGGCATGCAGGAGGCGGCCAATCGATGTTCTCTCTCATCGATGTTTCTATCTCTTTCTCCCTGTTAGTTTCTCTCTAAAAATCAATAAAGGAAAAAAATTTTTTTTTAAATACCTTCATTACTGCCCTGGTCGGTATGGCTCAGTTTATTGGGTGTTGTCCTTGCACTATAGGGTTGCCAGTTTGATTCTGGTCAGGGCACCTGCCCCAGTTTCTGGCTCAATCCAGCGGGGAGGCAGCAGATCGATGTTTGGCTCTCATACAAATAATTTTCTCTCTCTCTCTCCCTCCCTCTCTAAAAAATCTATTAAAAAACACAACACGGCCCTGGCTGGTTTGACTCAGCGGTTAGAGCTTTGGCCCGTGGACCAATGAGTCGCGGGTTAGATTCTGGTCAAGAGCACATACCTCAGTTGCAATTTGTCCCCAGCCCTGGTTGGGGTTGTGCAGGAGGCAGCCACTTGATGTGTCCCTTTCACATCGATGTCTCTCTCTCTCTCTTCCTCTTCCTCGCACTCTAAACAAAAATGGAAAGATGTCCTCGAGTGAGGATTAAAACAAAAACACACAATCTGTTCATTACTAACAACAACAAAACCTGTGAATCCCTTAGCCATCATCCCCCAACTATTCTCTTTCTCTCCTACCCTAGGTAACTGCAAATTGGCTTTCTGTCTCTATAGATTTGCCTATTCTGGACATTTCATTAAAATGGGATCATAAGCCCTGGCTAGTTTGGCTGAATGGTTAGAGCATCATCCTGCAGACCAAAGAGTCATGGGTTCGGGTCCCAGTCAAGGGCACGAACCTGGATTAGAGGTTCAATCCCTGGCCCTGGTCAGGGTCATGCAGGAGGCAATTAGTCAATGTGTCTCTCTTGCATCGATGTTTCTGTCCTCTTTCTCTCCCTCCCTTCCACTCTATCAATAATCAATGGAAAAATATCTTTGGGTGAAGATTAAAAAATAAATAAATAAAATAAAATGGGATCATAAAATATTTGGTCCTCTTTCATTTAGCATAACATTTTCAATAGTCATCTATATTATTAAAGCATGTATTGGTATATTTCTTTTTATTACCAAGTAATATTCTATTGTGTGGATAGATCACATTTTATTTACCCGTTTCTCCTTGCCTTTTTTTCTTTAATTTTTTTGTCTTTTATTGATTTTAGAGAGAGAGGAAGGGAGAGAGAGAGAGAGAGAGAAACATTGATGAGAGAGAACATCGATTGGCCACCTCCTGCATACCCCCCACTGGGGATCAGACCCACAACCTGGGCATGTGCCCTGGTTGGGAATCAAACTGGCGACCTCTTGGTACATGGGTCAACGCTCAACCACTGAGCTATGCCGGCCAGGCACTCCTTGCCTTTTATATTGAAAACATATATCATGAATGTTTTTCTGTTAGTATCTTCTAGTTTTTACTCTGTTATAAACAAGGCTGTAGTGAAGAGCTTTGTGAATATGTCTGGGTTAAAGTGAAATATTTCTTTAAGGTACATTTTTTAGAACTATATTATAATATCAAGGGGTATGCATATATTTTTTTAATTCTAATAGGTATTGCAAAATTGCCCTCAAATAATTACATGAGTTTATATACCTACTCACTTTGTGTGAAAATACCTGTTCCTCAATATTAGGTATTTTCATCTGTTTAATCTTTGCCACTCTAACAGATAGAAAATAAAATTGTTTTAATTTATAGCTCCTTATAATGTAATTGAGCATCTTTATGCTCACTGGCCATTTGTATGTCTTCTTCTATGAAATGAAACATGACATAGTTAAGAACCCAGTCTGGCCCGGCTGGCGTGGCTCAGTTGTTGAGTGTCGACCCACGCACCAAGGAGTCGTTGGTTCGATTATCAGTCAGGGTACATGCCCGGGTTGTGGGCTTGACCCCCAGCATGGGGTGTGCAGGAGGCAGCCAATCAATGTTGATGTTTCTTTCTCATCCATGTTTCTATCTCTCCCTCTCCCTTCCTCTCTCTCTAAAAATATCAATAAAAACAAACAATAAAACATATTTTTAAAAAAGAGCCCAGTCTGTATCCACAGTCTCAGTTCAAATCTCACCTTCACCATCTGCTATCTAGTTATTTCTTTGTGCCTCAGGTTTCTCACCTATAAAATGGAGACAAAAGCCAGAGTCATTTAAGAATATCCTTGATAGGAATTGTTCAGAAGATTAAATGAGATAATCCTTGTAAAGTGCTTAGCACAGTGTCTAGAAAATAGCACATAACTCTAAGCTATTATTATAAGCTCTTTGTAAATTAAGGAAATTAGCCCTTTGAGAAATGTGTAGAAATATATTTCCCAGTTTTATTTTAATTTTACTTTCATGTGTCTTTTTGTTTTATAGAAGTTTTATGTTTTTTATGTGATCATGTTTACATTTTCTGGTTAATTTTATGGTTTCTTTTGGTTCACATTAAATTATTTTTTATCTAGAATTTATTTTAATATATAAAGAATGACAAGGATCCAGCTTAAGTTTTTTTTCCAGATATGTTTATGACAAATACTTTATGGAATATGGTATGGGGTTGGAATAGATCACTAGTTTCTTTATAAATATGGATTTTATTTTCCTCTAGTTCTTATTGTTCTCTAGTGTGCTTATTTTGCTTCATTCCAGAAGTCTCATTGGTCTTTTTAAAATTCTCAACAGGATATAATTCAGAGAGAGTAAAGTCAGTTTATTCACAAGTTCTGTTTCTAATATGTTTGGGTTTTTTTTTCCTGGCAGGTATCCCTTGTATAACTGATTGTGTAATGGCTGAAATAGAAAAATTGGGGCAGAAGTATAGAGTGGCTCTAAGGTAGGAAGAAGCTGGTTGGTCTAGATTTATTCGTTTTAGATTGGTATACTGAAGATTCTTTTGACCTTCATCCATCTGTTTGCTGTCCAAAGATTTCTTGGCTGATTAGATTAAATAAAAATGTAAAACTAGTTAACTATGATCAAGAACACAGACATTTGAAGGCTAGAGATTTTTAAGCTGCAGCCTTTTTTTAAATAATTAAATTTATTGGGGTAACATTTGTTATAACATTATATAAGTGTCAGATGTACAACTTTATTATTTTTTTCTTTATTGATTTTTTTTTTTCTCTTAGAGAGAGAGAGAGAGAAAGGGAGAGGGAGAGAGAAACATCTGTGAGAGAAAACATTGATTGTCCGCCTCCTGCATGCTCCCCACTGGGGATTTGGCCCACAACCTGGGCATGTGCCCTTGCCCTGACCGGGAATCAGACTGGCGACCTCTTGGTGCATGGGTCGATGCTCAACCACTGAGCCACACCAGCTGGGCCTCAGGTGTACAACTTTATAATGCAACATCTGTATATTCCATTGTGTGTCTACCACCCAAAGTCTACACTCCTTCCATTGCCATATATTTGACCTCCTTTTCCTTCTTTATCCTCCTCCCAACCCTCTTCTCTTCTGGTAATCACCATACTGTTGTCTGTGTCTGTTTTGTTTATTGCTTTTTTTATATCCCAAGTATAAGTGAAATCATATGGTTTTTGTTTTTTTCTGTCTTATTTTGCTTAGCATGATACTCTCAGGATCTATTCATGTTGTTCCAAACGGCAATATTTCACCATTTTTATAGCTGAGTATTCCATTATATGTACCATATCTTCTTTACCCAATCATCAGTCTAAGGACACTTAGATTGCTTCTATGTCTTGGCTACTGTGACCTAAGTTACTTAGTCATATTGGTTTTATGGGCCTCCTTTCAAGTGCCTCTAGATTTTCAATTGGAAAATATCTTTCTATTAGTTTATCTAGACATCTCCTTCAGAATCTCACAGTGAAAGAATTCACATTCTAGCCCTGGCCGGTTTGGCTCGGCGATTAGAGTGTTGGCCCATGATCCAGAGAGACCCAGGTTCAGTTCCTGCTAAGGGCACATACCTTGGTTGCAGTTTGTCCCTGGCCCCAGTTGGGGTTGTGTTGGTGACAGCCAGTCGATGTTTCTCTCTCGCATCAATGTTTCTCTCTCTTCCTCCCTCTCTCCCTCTCACTCTATCTGAAGATGAATGCAAAAATGTCCTCGGGTGAGGATAAGAAGAAAAAAAAGAATTCACATTCTAGCCCAGCCTGTTGGCCCAGTGGGTTGAGCGTTGTCCCATGGACTAAGAGGTACCCATTCAATTCCTGGTCAGAGCACATGCCCAGGTTGTGGGCTCAATTCCCAGTGTGGGGCATGCAGGAGGCAGCCAGTTGATGTTTTTCTTTCATCAGTGTTTCTCTCTCCCCCCCATCTCCCTTCTCTATCTAAAAAAATCAATAAAAAAATATATTTTTTTAAATTCACTTTCTAAGTTTTGAGTTTACTCTAGAAAGTACCCTTAAATTTAGAGTAGCAGTTCCCAAAATATAATCATGAACCTCTAGGAGTCCCAGAGACCTTTACAGGGAATTTGCAAAACTGTTTTCATAATAATACCAAGACATTGCCTTTGTCACAGTGCTGACATTTGTACTAATGGCAGAAATGCTGGTTTGGTGCTTTAGTACAAATCAAGGCAATGGGCCCAAATAATGCTATTTGTTTGTTTGTTTTTTAACCCACTGGCAGCTAAAAAACAAACCAAAAAAACCCAGAGTCATTTAAGAATGTCCTTGATGAAACAATAAAATTTGTTAACTTTATTTAACTCTCCACCCTGGAGTACACATTTGTGTTCCTTGTGATAATGTGAAGAATACACATAAAGCACTTCAGCTGATACCAAAGGATGAAGGTTATCTCAATGAAAAGCTTTGGTGTGCTTGTTTGAGTTGTGGGCTGGACCAGTTGCTTTTTCATGTAATATAATTTTTATGTAAAGAACAACTGACAAACACTGATTTTGTTCAGACTTTGCTATATAGCAAATATTTTCTCAAAAATGCAATGAGCCTGTCTCTTTAAGAGAAACAACTTACTATATTAGTTACCAGTGATAAAACTTGAGCTTTTAAATAGGTTTTAAAAATATATAAAAACTACAAATCTATCAGACAAAGGCAAAATTCTTAAATTCGCAATGAAATATCATTTTATACCCAGCAGATTGGCAAGAATTAAAGTTTGCTTGACAGTGAGAAGAATAGTTGAGAATGTGGAACAATGGGAATTCTAGAGAAAGAGATTTGTGTTTTCTTTTTTAATCCTCACCTGAGGATATTTTTCCATATATCTTCAGATAGAGTGGGAGGGAGAGAGAGGGAGAGGGAGAGAGAGAAACATCAATGTGAGAGAGACACATCAATTAGTTGCCTCCTGCATGACCCCGACCAGGGCCAGGGACCAAACTGCAACTGAAGTGCATGCCCTTGACCAGAATTGAACCCTCAACTTTGGTCCGCAGGTCAAGGCTCTAACCGCTGAGGAAACCAGCCAGGGCAGTTTGTGTTCTTTTCTTTTTTTTTGTTTTTAATCCTCACCTGAGGACATTTTTACATTTATCTTCAGATAGAGGGGGAGGGAGAAAGAGAGAAAAACGTTGATGTGAGAGAGACACATTGAGTGGTTGCCACCCACACAACCCAAACCAGGCTGGGGACAAACTGCAACCAAGGTACATGCCGTTAGTGGGAACCAAACCCAGGTCTCTCTGGTCCACAAGTCGATGCTCTAACCGCTGAGCCAAACCAGCCAGGGCAGTTTTCTTAATTGAATGATAGATAGTTCAGTGACCTGTTTTATTTATTAAACAGATTATTATGTCTTTCAACATTGATACATACAACTCTACCTCATTTTTTAAAAAATAGGATAGAGGCACCAAAATGTGTTTAATTTTCTCCTTGTTGATTTATTCAGATTGTCTTCAGTTTTTTACTGTTATAAACTGCTGCAGTTGCCATCTTTGTGCCTACATTCTTATATATTTATATAAGACAACTTCCTAAAAATAAATTGGTTGGGTTAAAATTGATTTGGTGTTGAATCCTGGCTTTCCCACCTGGGTTACTTTAAGCAAATTAATTAATCTCTGAATCTGCTACCTCATCTGAATAGTGAAATTAATAATTCAGAGTTTTATGAAGATTACATGACCTAAGACACACCAGCTGTTAGATAGTTTTAATTCCCTTTTCTTTTTTTTAAGTATTTAATGTTTGCCCTCTTTTTATTTTTATTTATTTTTTTATTTATTTTCCTTTTTATTGATGTTAGAAAGAGAGGAAGGGAGAGGGAGAGAGAGCTAGAAACATCAATGAGAGAGAACATCAACTGGCTGCCTCCTGCATGCCCCCTACTGGGGATCGAGCCCATAACCTGGGCATGTGTCCTGACCAGGAAGCGAACCGGTGACGCTCAGCCACTGAGCCACACCGGCCGGACTAATTCTCTTTTCTATAAATAGTCTTTCAAGTTAAAAGGTAAGCTTCATGAGGAGAGGGATGCCTTAAAATCTACACAGAGATGATGTTATTATTTTACTGAGACTCAGAAAGTTATCCAATTGCCAGAATGTTTTCCTTAATCCACTTTTGTAACCCTATAGGATCGCCAAGGATCCAAGATTTGAACGATTACCATGCACACACAAAGGAACCTATGCAGATGACTGCTTAGTACAGAGAGTAACTCAGGTATCATCAATTTTTTAATGTTTACTTTGTGCTTTTTTTTTTTTTAATCCTCACCCGATGACATTTTTCCTTTTTTTTTTTTTTTTTTAAATCCTCACCCGAGGACATTTTTCCATTTTTTTTTTTTGTTCAGGTAGAGTGGGAGGGAGAGAGAGGACCAGAGAGAGAGCGAGAGAGAGAGAGACATCGATGTGAAAGGGACACATCGAGTGGCTGCCACCCGCACGAGTGACCAGAGCCAGGGACAAACTGCAACCGAGGTATGCGCCCTTAGCGGGAACCGAACCTGGCTCTCTCAGAACCGCAGGCCGACGCTTTAACCGCTGAGCCAAACCGGCCAGGGCCATTTTTCCATTTTTTTGTTCAGATAGAGTGGGAGGGAGAGAGAGAGAGAGAGAGAGAGAAACATCGACGTGAAAGGGACACATTGAGTGGTTGCCTCCCGTACGACCCAACCAGGGCCGGGGACAAACTGCAACCGAGGTACATGCCCTTAGTGAGAACTGAACCCGAGTCTCTCTGGACCACAGGCTGATGCTCTAACCGCAGAGCCAGAAAAGTACTAGGAATATAAATGGCAAATATATATATATAGATAGATAGATAAATATAGATATAGATATAGATATATAGAATCCCTTCATAGGAAGCATAGGTGTCCTCATTTACTTGAGAAAGTGGATTGGAAATGTATACTTTAACCACAATGGAAAGATCATGGGCTTGGGGAGGAGATATGGGTTTCAAATATTAGCACCTACCTTTATTAGTTGTGTGATTTACTGATTATGTCATAAATCTCTATAAAATGGTTCAAGTAAATGAGTATAGGTAATACAGTTGAACTTTGAACAACGCCAGGGTTAGGGGTTCTGACCCCCCTGTGCATCGAAAATCTGTGTTATTATATAACTTTCTATTCCCAGAAATTTAAGTTGTTCCTTGTTATCCATGGGGGATTGGTTCCAGAACCCCTTGTGAATACCAAAATCTGCAGATGCTCAAGTCCTCTATATAAAGTGGTGTGGATCAATGCATACAGTCTGCCCTTCACATCTGTGACTCCCAACCACAGAACAAAAACAGTACAGGTATTTGTTGGAAAATAATCCACTTACAAGTGGACCCAATCAGTTGAAACCTGTGTTGTTCAAGAGTCAACTTATATCAGATTTCACCTCTCTATGAATGTAAAATAAGGTTCCATTTCCATTTACTCTCCATGAAGGAATTTTGTTCCTCCCTACCATGCCTAACACAGAAGTATTTCTCAGTTACATCTAAGTTTCCCAGGGTGCTATCTCACAAGGATCCTGGAGTCAGTGGGGTTTTTTATTTCTTAGCAAGCACCACAAGAACTTCTGCTACTGATTGCTCTTAGAAGAGCCTCTCCACGCTGAGGATAATCATCTTCATTGGGTGACCACATTGTCAGCCCTTTAGCCACTCCAGTCCATGGGCGTGGCCGGCATTTCCCTTAATTTCCCACAGCACAGCTGACATCAGGCTATAACTGTAAAACTCAGTGGGAGTTTTGGGTATGATGGAAGTAAAGTACAACACAAATTAGCTCCCAGCTGGCAGCTTCGTGGTACTGCTTTCAGAGTTGCTAGGCTCAAATTTGTCCTGGAGATCCTATTCTGCCTTCTTGGCCTAGAAGGTAGCCATCCTCCACCTCTAGAAGGCCCCAGAGTAGGCCTCACTATCTTGGGAAAGGCAAAAACTACCCTCCAATCCAAGGTACTTACTTTGCCTTTGCATAGAGGACCTCTGGGCATTTTCCCAAAATCAAGAAATTGTCTACCCCAGATGTGAAAGTTCCTTCCACTTATGAGACAAAAAATGGTTTGCAGCTTTTAGCTCTTCTATCTTCTCCACCTCAAAATTCTTACAGCTACATTCAGCTGAGGCAACTTATTAATGTTTTATAAATATGAATTCCTAGATTATAGTATCTACTCAACAAATTGTTATAACATTTTCTTTGCTATGTACTGTGAAAATAAATTAATTCTTCAAACTCTCCAGTGATTATGCCTTTATAATATCACTGAGTAGACTCAATAAACTCTATGTGCATCTCTTATAGCACAAGTGTTACATTGTGGCCACAGTTGACCGGGACCTTAAAAGAAGAATCAGGAAGATCCCTGGAGTTCCCATCATGTATATTTCTAACCATAGGTGAGAACTTCTTCTTGGGGAAGTAACTGAAAGTATATAATTGATATCAATTAAAAATGAGGTCAGCCTGTAGAAGAATTTAAAAGATATTGTTGTATCAAATGTTTACATAGTTGTATTTGAAGAAATGAGACAAAATAACATGAACAAGGGCAAAAGATAAAGCTAGGATTTAGGAATGAGGGAGACATTCATATTGTTACAATATGGTTACCAAAGGAAATGAGTGATGTGTTGCTTTAAAGATAAAGCAGTAATTTAAATCAAGCCAGTCATTTTGGCCAGAAATTTTTATTTTGAAAGCCTCATGCATGTGATTAGCACCCCTCTGGGAAACTAAAAGCAAATTTAAACTTTAAAAAAAAAAGGCTGCTCTTTATTCTTCTTGGATGTTTCCGTGTCAGTCCTCAGACTGTTACTGTCCAGCCTTCTGGCCTGGGGAGAACACAATATAGAGGGAATAATATGGGCTAAGGAGTTGGGCTTACCTGGACTCAGTGCCTGGCTCCCCCAGTTGTTAACTTTCCAACTTTGAAGAATAAAGAAAATATGGTCAGTGTTTTGCTTTAAATCACTCATTATGATATCCATTTAAAATGTTCCCACTGAGGGATGAGAGTGTTGTAGTCAGTAAAGGAAGGGTTTTTAGGTGGGTGCAAGACCCACCTTTCTTACCAGTGTTAATTTTTTGTCCTGATCAGGTACAACATTGAGCGGATGCCAGATGATTATGGAGCCCCTCGGTTCTAATACTTAAAGACAAAGTTCCTCTGCTTTCCTTCAACCAGCTTTCTCTGTTGCCAGTTTATTAGACATGGTACAGCCTGAGTCATTGCTCCACTTACCCATTTGCTTTGTTACAAGTTGAGTATGGTTAAACACTTTTTTTTTTTTAATTATCACTCATGGATACTTTCCCATTTATCTTCAGATAGAGTGGGAGGGAGGGAGGGTGGAAGAGAGTGAGAGAGAGAGAGAGAGAGACATCCATCGACATGAGGGACACATTGATTGGTTGCTTCCTGCACGACCCCTACAAGGGTAGGGGACTGAACTGCGACCGAGGTATGTCGCCTTGACCAGAATCAGACATGCAACTCTTCGGTCCGTGAGCCGACACTCCAACTGCTAAGCCAAACCGACCAGGGCTATACTCACTTTTTGATGTTGTTTTGAAAATGATATTTTGTATCATTTAAAAATTTGTTGCATCTTTTTATAAATCAGATGATTGCTCACAATTTTGATGGTTGTTTTATATTATTTACTCAACAAATACTTATTCAAGTTACATTAGATATTTAATAAGATATGGTCCTGCCCTCAAGACACTCATAATATGGTGAGAAAGAAAAACATGTAGGTGAGTAAATACAGTAAAATAATGATGCTAGGCTAAAAGTATGAAGGAGTAGGCACGTAAGAGGACAGAATGATTTTTATCTACTTCGTTGTGATAGGGAAGGAGGAAAGGCTAGAGGTAGTAATGTTACTGCTTTCCCAGTAGATGAGGTAAAGAAAATGAGGCACAGGAAACATGAAAAAAAGCATGGACACAGATATTACATGGAATGAATGTGTTTCACCTGTTCAGACAATTGCCAGAAGATTTTTTATAACTAGAACATAGGGGAAGTTGTCTTTACCCACACAGACTTTAGAGGTACGAGGTGGGAGGGAGGGGCCTTATGTGACTTGCTAAAGGGTTTGGACTTGATCTTGAGGTCAATAGAGAATTATTAAAATTTTAATTAGGGTACATATAACATTATAAGAATATTTTAAGTGATCACAAGGTAGTGTAGGAATAGACAAATGGATCACTGAAACAATAGGAAGTCCATAAACCCATATATATATATATATATATATCTATATATCAGTTTGGTATATTTTAAAGGTTCTATTTCAAGTCTGTAGAAAAAGGAAATTGCATTAGAAGGCCAAATAGTGTGGAGTCATTCTACCAGGGTTAAAATCCCGATTTTACCAGTTAATAGCTATATGAATTGGGCAAACTATATAACCATTGAGTGCCTTCCTTGCAACCTCTTAAAAATGTTTTGAGAAAAACGTTTAATCCTCAAAACAACCTTAATAAGATGGGATTCAATTGAACAGTACCTGGCACAAGTAAGAGTTACTCATTACTGTTAGAAATTATTGTTATAATGTCAAGTTGGCTATTCATTTGAAAAAAAACTTTATAGATTTCTACTTTATGTCCTTCATAAGAATACATTTCAAGTGGGTCAAAAATCTAAATTTTTTTTAAGCTATAGCAGTATTAGGAAAAACGTGAAAAATGTATGTAAGCTTTAGATAGAATTCTCAAAGAAGATGAATATAAAAGCCATAAAAGAAAATATTGATGTGTGAACATATTAAAATTATAGATTTCTGTGCAAAACAATGCCCCCAAATATTAAGACAAGTGACTGACTAGAAGATTTCCCAGTATACATATAACAAGAGAGGAAATGGGAAGTCAAGTAGTGCTGACAAAAGTGCAGATAGGTAGAACCATTTTAGATGGCATTTGGCAGGTTCGAGTAAAATTAAAAGTGCAGATATCCTGTGAGCCTAATTCTAGTTTTTGGTTATTTATAAATATCACACAGGTGATTTTCTTTAAAATACATGATCAGTGTGATATAAATGTATAAAGAAATAGCCACACATGTACAAGGAATTATATAGAAGGATGTCTACTGTACCACTGTTTATAACAAAAATTGAAAAGAATGTAAATTCTCATCACAGGGGTCTTAACTATGTTATGTCTATATTTAAAAGAATAGGGTAGATTTAAAAATGGGCAAAAGACAAGTACAGTTCTCGGAAGAAGAAATGCAAATGGCCAACAAGCACATAAAAAGATGTTTAACATCACTAATCATTAGGGAAATGCAAATCAAAACCACAGTGAGATATCATCACACCCATTAGGATGGCCACTATCAAAAGAACAGAAAATAGCAAGTGTTGGTGAGGATGTGGCCAACATTCTATTGATTGGAGCACTCGTGCTGTTGGTAGGGATGTAAAATGGTATAGCCACTATGAAAAACAGTATGGTGGTTCCTCAAAAAGTCAAAAATAGAATTACCATAATCTGACAATCCCACTTCTGTGTATATATTCAATAGAATTCAAAGCAGGATCTCAAAGAGATATTTGCACACCTATGATTATTGCGGCTTTATTCACAATAACCAAGAGGTGGAAGCAACCCATATATCCATTGACAGCTCAATGGATAAAGAAAATGCAATATATACATGCAATGGGATGTTATTCAGACTTTAAAAAGAAGGAAATTCTGCCGTAGCCAGGTAGCTCAGTTGGTTAGAGTGTCATCCTGATGTGCCAGAATTATGGATTTGGTCCCCAGTCAGGGCATGTACAGGATTCATCCAATGAATGCATGGATGGATGGGTGGAGCAACAAATCAATGTTTCTCTCTCTCTCTCAATTTTTTTTTTAAAGAAGGAAATTTATGCTACAACATGCACAAACTTCAAGGACATTATGCTAAATTAAATAAGCCAGTCATAAAGGACAAATACTGTATAATTCCACTCATGAAGTAGCTAAAATAGAGACTAAGGTAAGCAGGAGCAGAGGAGAAGAGGGAGGGGAATTAGTGTTTAGTGGGTATAGAATTTCAGTTTTGCAAGATGAAAAAATGCAAGAGATTTGTTGTACAACAGTGTAAAAGTACTTCACACTACAACCTGTACCCTTAAAATGATAAAGATGGTAAATTTAATGTGGTGTGCTTTTTACTACAATAAAAATACTTATTACGAGCCCTGGCCAGTTTGGCTCAACGGTCAGAGCATCGGCCTGTGGACCAGAGGGTTGGGTTCTTGCTAAGGGCACATACATTGGTTGCAGTTGTCCCAGGCCCTGGTTGGGTCGTGTGGGTGGCAACCAGTCGATGTCTGTCTCTCATGTTGATGTTTCTCTCTCTCTCTTCCTCCCTCTCTCCCTCCCACTCTATTAAAAAAAAAAAAAAAAAAATTATGAGATCAAAGCAATGTACAGTGAGAAATTAAAGTTGCCTAATTATCAAAGGAAATCACACACCCATTGTGAACTGCTTCTTTGCTGTAGTCCTGTGGGGTCATGGACACAAGGCCTGTTGGCTTTGAGCTGGGTGTTTTGGGAACCCATCCCTGGTGTGAGAGCCTTAAAAGTTGGGACTCTTGACGTGTGGTCTAAACACTTCACCCCTCAGGGAGAGGAGTTTCCTCCCAACTGTATAGTGCTGGGCTGAGGATGAGGTTCGTGGTGAGAGTATATCTTAGCCTTTTCTACCCATTTTGAGGTATTTTCTCATATCACCCATTGTGTAAGAGTCACTCAGTTAGTTTCTGCATTTCTCTCAGATGGAATTGCTCTGTGTTTAGCTATACATTCTGAGTATTTATGGGAGGAGGGACATCCCAGGAACCTCCTATGTCATCATCATGGTCCCTCTCCTTAGGAAATACATGCTAAATGCTTAGGTGTGAAGGGTCACAATATCTTCAAGTAACTGTTCAGTGGTTTGGGAAAGGTAGATGATAGAAGATAGTGAGATAGATAGATAGATAGATAGATAGATAGATAGATAGATAGATGGAAGGGGAGAGTAGAAAAACATTAACAGATGGTGTGGTATGCCTAGAAGATGAAGGATATAGGGGTGTTTATTTACTATTCTCACAACTTTCGTGGGCTTGGCATTTTTCAAAATAAAAAATGTGGTGAAAAATATATGAAACATACAATAGAGAGAAAAGGTAACTGACAGAGTAGCTGTCAAGTGATGGGATCTAGAGCAGAAAGAATAGGATTAACTAGGACAGGAGAAGATCCACTCTGAAACTGCAGGATAGGAGAGAGGGGTGGCTGCCAGTAAAGATTAGTATGTGGGTGTGTGAGCAGAAGTTGAAGGAGTTTGTACTTACTGTTCTCAACACTCTCTGGGAAGTTGAAAGCAAGGTCATTTATTGAGGGACGAGGTTTCCGGTAGTGATGAAGAATTGAAATAGCTACTGTAGTGAGTGGGGGAGGTCAGTGACAAAATGATGGCAAAGTAATGTTGAGAACCCAGGCAGGATGCAGAACACAAATTAGCAGTGGCACCAATTGCATGTTATGTGATTTCTCCAGAACCATTCAACAAAAGAAAGTGGATGGGTGGAGTGAGCTATAGTTGGGAATTTATAGGAAAATCCAACAGTAAAACAAGGAGTTGAGGATGCATGCAAAAGAGGTAGAATTGATGTAACATAGGTTCAGGAATTGTTAGGAAAAGAGTTGATAGGAAAGTGAAATCATGAGACGAGTGGTGAACTGGGAGAAAAGAGATCAGTTAAGTGACTGGAAGTTCAAGGTTGATTAACACATATATTAAAAATTAAGGCCCTGGCCGGTTTGGCTCAGCGGTTAGAGCAATGGCCCACAGACCAGAAAGTCCCAGGTTCAGTTCCTGCTAAGGGCACGTACCTTGGTTGCAGTTTGTCCCTGGCTTTGGTTGGTGTCATGTGGGTGGCAACCACTAGATGTGTCTCTCTCACATCGATGTTTCTCTCTTGCTCCTCCTCCCTTTCTCCCTCCTGCTCTATCTGAAGATAAATGCAAAAATGTCCTCCGGTGAGGATAAAAAAAAAATTAGGAAGTGGGAGGGCTGTAGAAGTAAAAGATCTAAATAGGTAATTAGAATAAGATATCAGGTGGAAACTATTCCAGCAGAGATAATGGCTGATTTCATCTTGGGTACCAGTTGCAGATAAGGATTTTGAGGTTGACATGATGAAAGAACTTTAAGCCTAAATTGTTCAAGGATTCATCTATCTGTATACTGAATGGAAGCCTAGCACAAATAACACATCCATAGGCCAATTCTAAGATGTTCCTTCCATATAAATGGCCAAGTTGGTAATCAGCAAACTCAACAACTGTTAATTGAGTGAAGGGTAGAGTATCTTACCCATAAACATCCAATCTATAGATTGGCCAGAAGCTCATGAGGTGGACTGTTCAGAGGAAACAGATCCTCTCTTTGGGGAATTCAGATTTCAAGACATGGAGAGTAGAACAGCTATAACAAGAGTAGAAACCATACATAAAGAAAAGCAGGGATGCACCTGACACAAGAGTACCATGATGTCACGGGGATGTAAAGTACAGCATAGGGAATATAGTCAATAATATTATAATAACTGTATGATGCCAGGTGGGTACTAGACTTATTAGGGGAATCATTTTGTAAGTTATATAAATGTCTAATCACTATGCTGTATTCCTGAAACTAATATAATGTTGAATGTCAACTGGAATTGAAACTTTAAAAAATTGAGAATAAAGAGTACCGTGATGGTAGAGTCCTGTGATAGGAATTGATCAAGAACTTCCTAATGCTGAGAGAGAGAGAGACAGCTAGATCTATGTTGGATCCTAAGGGCCATCCAGTTCCTGAACTACATTCCAGTTTCAGTGGAGCCTACACATGCAGCCCTTCTGGTAGTACCAAGTGGGAAGTGGGGTTCTGCATTTCCACAGGGCCCAACTGTGTGTCTGAGATTCCTGTTTCTATATTTATCCTTAGAATATGTATATCTCCAGGTTTCAATTAGGGTGTTTACAGTGCAAGTAGCAGAAATCTTCACTTGGTCTACTTTAAACAATAAGGAAACACATCTCAAATGAGAGGGATTTCAAAGATAGTGCTCCTTTCTGCACAGTCCAATCAGGGCTGAAACTCCAAAGTCCTCAGTTCTGACCTTTCTCTGTTGGCATTGTCATCAAAGGCCCCAGTTGGCTGTAAACAGCTATTGGAGCCACATATTTCTTGTTCACAATCATTGGAGAGAAAAAGGGCCTCTTCTCCAATCATGTAATGAAAATTCTTCTCTTAGTATGATTGTGCCAACTTTGGATGGCCAAAGAAATGCCATATTCTGCTTAGCTTAAGCCAGAATCTGTGAACCAGTAAATGGCAAGGAAGATAATTATTGCTATGATTGACTTAAATTAATTGGGATCTACTCTTGGAGCTGGAGATGATCAGCTTGTTTTGAGTAATATGGCATATGTAAGGAGAGATGTGGACACTTAAATAAAATTGTTATTTTATGACTTCCGGTCAAGATGGCAGCTTAGGTAAACGCGGTATCGCATCCCCCCACAACCACATCGAAGTTACAACTAAACTACAGAACAACCATCATTCAAAACCATCTGAAATCAAGCTGAATGGAAGTCCTACATCTACGAAATTAAAGCAGCAGCCATATCAATACTGGTAGGAGGGGTGGAGGCGCGATGGGCTGGTCCCACATCCACATGTGGCGGATAAAAATCAGGAGGACACCTCGGCTGGGAAGGTCCTCCCTGAGGACTAAGGGGTCCCTGTCCCACGCCAGACGCCCTGCTCAGGGTTCCAGTGCCAGGAAGAGAAGTCCCCATCACTTCTGGCTGGAAAAACCAGCGGGAACTGAGGCTCAGGGAGGCTGAGGTGGCTGGAGCCCAGGCAACTCCTTAAAGGGCCCGCACACGGACTTGTCGGACTCTCTCCCTCTAACCTTAGACGGGAGGCAGCTTGAGGGGCACCAGAGACATACAGGGAAGAACTAAGCTGTTTGGCACTGGAGCGAGGGCTGGAGAGGGGACTTTTTCCGAGACAAACGTGCTGTCAGAGGCCTTTGTTACTTTGGTGAGCCCTTCCCTGGGGCGGCAGACAGTCCCCATATCTGGGACTCCAACTACCTGGCTCACACTGGTAGCCCCGCCCTGGTGATTCCCTGAGGCCCCGCCCCACCCAACTTTCAGGCCCACCCAAGCTGTTGCCAGTTGCTTAACCATAGGATTGGCCTGTCTTGGATCCTGCTTCAGGTTTTCCTAAATTCTTTCAAACAAGCAGCATCTGGTCTCAGCTAGCCCCATACCTCTCGTTAAGTAATACACAGAAACAAACACAGGGAGGCAGCCAAAATGAGGAGACAAAGAAGCAGGTCCCAAATGAAAACAAAACAAAACCCCAATAAAAGAACTAAGCGAAATGGAGATAAGCAACCTAACAGATGCTGAGTTAAAAATACTGCTTATAAGGATGCTCAATGAACTTAGTGAAGGCCTCAAGAGCATAAAAAAGGACCTGTCAGAAAAGAAGGATGCACAGTCAGAAATGAAGGAGGCATTAACTGAAATAAAGAATAATTTACACAGATTCAATAGTAGAGTATGTAAATCCAAGAAGCAAACCATCAATTTGGAATCTAAGGAAGCAAAAAACACCCAATCAAAATAGCAAAAAGGAAAAAAAATGAGGATAGTGTAAGGAGCCTCTGGGACAACTTCAAGCGTGCCAATATTCGCATCTTGGGGATACCAGAAGGAGAAGAGCAAGAACAAGAAACTGAAAACCTGTTAGAAACAATAATGGCAGAAAACTTTCCTAACTTGGTGAAGGAAACAGACATACAAGTCCAGGAAGCACAGAGAGTCCCAAACAAGATGAACCCCAAGGGGCCCACACCAAGACACATCATCATCAAAATGCAAAAGGTTCAAGACAAAGAGAAAATCTTAAAAGCAGCAAGAAAAAAGCAGTTAGTTACCTACAAAGGAGTTCCCATAAGGATGTCAGCTGATTTCTCAAAAGAAACTTTGCAGGCCAGAAGAGAGTGGCAAGAAATATTCAGAGTGATGAAAAGCAAGAACCTACAACCAAGATTACTCTATCCTGCAAAGCTGTCATTTAGAATCGATGGCCATATCAAGACTTTCCCAGACAAGAAAAAGTTAAAGGAGTTCATCACCACCAAACCATTATATGAA